CGTCCGTAGTCCACACGAACATCCAGGTGAATTGATCACAAATGCTGATCACTTTTGTTTGCTTGTCATTTATTCAGGCGGGCTGACTGTGAGATTATGGTAGGCCAAAAAATGAGGCACTTTATTTTTTCACAGTGGAACCTGGTTCAACGTAACAAAGTTCACTCGTGCAAAGGATTCGGAGTCTCAAAAGTGAACATTTGGGTGGATAACGTTCGACTGCGCGACTCTGGGTAGGGCTACCCTGGAGGAAACCGCTAATGTGCGTGTGAAAACCGTTCCCATTACGTTGCTCGCTGGATATAACATCCGTCAGTGTTAACTTGCTGGGCGGTCGTAACAGCCGCTGTTGAAAAAAACTCGTGCAAAATGGAATCTGCAGACCAATAAATTCGAGCGAGAAAATCAGATGTGTGAGAACCATCTCACTCATTCACTAGATCGAATTCTATTCTAGGTCAAAGCACAGTGCTAAGCAATTCATTTACTAGTGCGCTCTATGGTGTTTGCTTGCACTGGTATTTTTGCTAGCGCAGACGTACACATTTAATCCAAAAGGCGATAAGTATTGAAGGATTAACCGTCAAAAGTTGTTCATAGATTCCAGTCGAAACCGCGGACGATTCCGAGGAGTTTGGACGAAATGACAAACAGTGCAGTTTCTGTCGACTTTATGTGAGAATGAAATGCAGCACACGTTGCATCACGCGAGTAACACACACTTGGATAAATCTCAGAATAGTCCCCTAATAAGTGGGATCTAAGGAGAGTCTCTTGGGTAGTGAGTAGTTATTCTTTCCATGAAACTCGCGAAATGCACTTAGGCAACCGAGGGGAACAAACTGTTATTGCTGAGAATGTCTGTCTCACTGCCTTTGTTACGGCACAGTTCAAAGGTCCCGCCAGGCCACAAGCACGCCAGTGACGCGCAAGGTAAGTCGGGTCCGGTTTGGATGACTGCAGAAAGAACCAGTCGGGGGTTGTCCGATTAACCAATCGGAGTGTCAAGGAAGCAATCTGTTTGGTGTATTACTATGTTCATCTCGCATTCCCAATTCACGCTAAAGATTTGCGTATTGCATCTTAATCAATGACTGCACTCTGACTGTTGTCTATAGAATCGTGTTCTCTCTACGCCCTGCTGTTGGGGCGCTCGTGTCAATCGTACATATAGGCCGTTTACAACATCATTCACGTAACGGAGTTGTTTTCTCACCAAAGTGAGAGAACGGAAAGCCAACGTCCGGGGTTATGCCCAGGTCAGCGAACTACTGGTAGTTCACCTAAGGAAATGGACTAAAAATCCGGATTCCACACCAACCAAGAAGAGGCAGACGAACCAAATTTACACCTTCCTACTTCTGGTAGTAGTTACCGGCTTGATTGAACATTGAGGTGCACTGCGCAAATTGAACGTTTGACACCCGTCCAAAGCATAGGCTAGTTTCCGCCAACCTTCATTTTTTGCACTCAAGAAACCTTTTCTTCCCCCCTTTTGGCTTACGACAAGGTAGATCACTATCAGCGAAAGACGTTATTGATGAGAACATAAGAATCTCAATTCGGCGAGTATGTGGAGCTCGCCTCACTCGGCAATAAGGCAAAAGCCATCTGTTAGTGTGTGTGTGTGTCGAGGGAGGAACATTTTCGATATACTTGTACAGGGGGCCAAACAGCCGAGTAAAGAGTTCAATACCATCACGGGAATTAGCCAGACTGTTCATCAATTGGCTGTGGTTGTAGTTGTGGGAGGGGGAATTTATCCATGTTGCAACTTCACTGCCAGTGACTCCTGATTTGCTGATTGTGTACACGCACTTCCTCACACGGTACAATGAATTCGTGGCATTAAGAAGGTTACTTAACATATCATGTGAGCTTTGCCTCGGCATTTTGAGTGCAATACTAGACAGGTTGCCTGATTGCAATACCCTGAATGTGAAAGCAATCGATACATCGCTTTGATATTGCATTTCTTGTTTCCAGACCCAATCATATGGATCCTGATCCCGAAACAACTCTCCAGGACTAACCATTTTATTCCCGGAAAGAGTTTAAACAAACAGTGTAAACAATTTCGAGATTGCGCGATTTGTTTTCGGAATCATTTGGAAAAAGTTCAATTACTTCCGTAGAATACACTTTATTTATCTGAAAATCCCTAAAATAAAGGGAGTAAACTTGAAGGTGTAAACACCGATCAAGACGTCAGGGTCAAGGTGACAAAGAGCTAGTTTTCTTCACGTAAGGAGATGTGCCATTGATTGAATGATGGGCACTGGACGACATCAACAATTCGTAGTTTCGGTTGTGTAAATTTTCCTTGAAGCACCTGACGGAGTGTTTCAATCAGATACCTGGCGAAGGGTACCGTCATTCTTTTGTACTTTAAGTTTTTGATCAAGTTACCTCGTTCCAATTTCATGCACATTGAACAGCATGCAAAATTTGTTTAACCGCTCGATTGCGGGACAGATTACATCGGCCTATTGAAGAGATATACTTTCGAAATCCTCCGATGAAAGCTCCACATCCCCGAAGTCGCACTGATGATGTTACCTAACCTGTCTACGAAATATCTGCGAACAAAACTTCCAGCTTGGAGAACACACTATAACACCAACATACAATTAACACAGAGATATTGTAACACCGAAGAGATGATTGTCTTTCCTATCTTTATCTCATTTATAGACTAGCCTCATTTGAGGACCACTCAATTTTTTAATGTTTTAACCCGAAATCTTTGGGTTTTTCAACCATGATCAATCTAACATCATCTCCTTCATGGATTATGGTATACCCAACAATGATCGTTCTGTTTCATAAATCATGCCTTTATGAAATAATGCTTTCCTCAGAACAATTAAATATGTTTATCCAGATGTTTCCTATTCCTTCCATTTCTGTAGGGTTGTGATGCAACTTACCTCCTCAGATTCCTTAAAATTACAAAGTTTTCTAAAGGACACCTAATTATGATATATATTCTTATCACTGCTCAGCTATATATGACGTATTTGTGCATATTACTTCATTCTGAGCCTAGCGAATTCCGTAAGTGCATTTTCCAGTTCTGGAAAGATCAAGAAATTTGAAATAGCCGAAATAAAACGTTAGTGTAACACGACTCTTGATCCCTCATGATTATCGCCTCGAAATCGATCGTCAATCGATTTCATCATGTACTATGTACGCAGCTCAAACATCGAATCCCATACAATGCCACGCCGATGATTGATTTATGTAGAAGTTAAATATATAAAAAAAAGTTCTAAGCAATTGATTATTGTGCAGCATTTTTGGAAGGAGGGATAAGTAGCAGATGGCGGGCTTCCGATGCGCGACATGAATCCATATGTGTAAGAGTCAGGACTTAAATTTACATCATACTGATTGGGAAAAGTTTAGTTTACCTTAAAAGAACAAACAATTGGATGACGAAATGCATGATTATTGACCATGGAATTTCATACCAGATGACAAGAATTGCTACAAAATATGAAGGGACCGTTAGGAAAACCTAGCGGTGAAAGTAGGAGATAAACTGAAAAATCTCAGATAAAAGCCAATGGACCTTACACTACCTGTAGTTCAACTCAAACACCAGCAAAATGCACTGACATAGCTTACATTTAGTCAGATATGATACAGCTTTCCTGTAGGTTTTCAAATACATAGAAATGCACTAAAATTAGTTGGCAGAAACACATTTATTCTCATATTATATGATCTCGGATCTCAACGACTACTCTTTCTCCGCCCAAGGAACACTTAACTGACCGAAGTTGATTCATCACGTTCCTGGGTCAAACATACAATTCATTACTGATTAGTAATGTGGAGTGCATCATAGTGGAAAACTTTTCCCGTTTTTTTGCTCTTTATTTACATTAAGTAACCATCTCAGAAAATTCAAGTGATCCTTTTTTAATTACTTCGACGATTTGCCTGTTAGCTTCAAGTTCTGTTGTGGTTTTCTTTTCTCTAAACTTCAGTCTCACTTATCTTTTATATGTGTATGGTATCACCATCCCCTTTATTTATTAAGGCCTCTAAATATCATCATAAACGCTTTCTTTTATAATAATACTGCGCCCTTTACTATCCCCCCTCCCCCGGCTCACTTGTTGTTCTTTTGTTCTTTCAATTCTTTGAAGTATATATTTCGCAAGACGTATTTTGCACTGTTTACATTTTTTTAAATTCATTGTCGATTGACATTTTATCTCGTAGAATTTTCGCAACTACATCCTGCCCGAATATATATAATTTATAAATAGAAATGTTTTACTTCTTTTTTTGTTTTTCTACCATATTGATGTGCAGCCAACTTTCAGAAATGGGACTGCGTTCATATAAAGAGGCTGTCTGGGGAAATACCGAAAGGTGGAAGATGGGTGGCAATGATAGGGCTCGAACTCAGAACCTCCAAGTCACTATTTTGATGACGCTCATAACACGCACATCCTAAACGATGGGTAACGAGCTCCCGTTACCCATTTGTGCACGAAAGAAGTACTGCTGACCGTGTGTCTATCTTTCCGGTTTTGCTTGACATCTGACGGGGGAATACTTCAATCAGAGATGATGTTTCACATATTCATAAATACTCCAGTGGCTAAAATGCTGATAATCAATCCGGTTAGGAGAAATAAAACCATTCTTTGATTAGTTTAACTTCAATTCATCTTTTAAGGCTGCCTAGACATTCTAGACTAAAAATAACAAGTGTTCATGTTTATTCAATCTGGTCAAGTGACCATTTTGCACGTGGTTCTTCACGTGATCCAACTGTAGTATTGATTGACAGTCCAAACCACGTAGTGTTTTGAATACCCCTTAGGAGATAAGCCCTGCTAGTTTTGACCAATATCCTCGGCAAAAACATGAATTAGGTATGCTCATAAAGTCGAGGTTCATTCCTCACAAGTCAAAAATAAATCCAAATAGATTTATTTACGTTTCCAGCCGGTAGTAATCAAGAAAAAGCAGATCAAATGAACTCTACAACTGAATTTAAAACACTATCTGATAAAGCTGCAGGTCATACAGTTTCCGATTCTCCGAACAACAATCCGCAGGACAAAAATAACGTTTTACAGATAAATGAGTCCATTTGGTCCAGAAAAGATAATTCCGGATCAGGAGACCACATATGGCCCGAATCATCTCCGGAGCGCGCTGTTCGTCGTCAGCGACCAAGAAACAATTCGGCCGCTCCAATGCACGGTATTGTGCAACGCGGTCGATCTGGTCGTTTACCACCATTGGATTTGTCAAAACGGAAGTGTACCTTGGAAACAATTGTGGTCTCCGGGATCAGTGTTGAATCCGGTCCGGGTGCCTCGTGTCCAACAGATTATCTAAAACGGTTACGTCAAAATATGCCACCGAAAAATCCCGAGATAGAGCAAAGTGTAAGCAAAGTAGCCCAGAACACAATAGATCATACTGTGAGACCGGTAAAAAGTAAGACGGACGAAAATTTGGCAAAACCAGCAAAACTAAAACCGGTTAAATTGGTGAAAAGACTTGCACGAGCAACCAATATGAATGCGTCTTTCACGATGGATAAAAACCTCATGTGTACAACAAAGAACCGCTCGAATGCAGTGCAAGCTGTAAACCCAAATAAACGTAAAATAAGCAATTTCAATATGAAAAATGTTGGTGATGCGGCCACTCCGGTCTCGACAACTAACACTGGTACTGTGATGAACAAAGATGATCAAGGATCGACTGGAAGTACACCAAACCGATCCACTGAGCTGATCACGGCCGAGTTGGAACCAACCACGTCGGAGACAATCAAACATCCCACGAAGTCTAAGACGGCCGAGGAATTGGAAGAACTGGCCTCACGGGATCGGTATCTATCAGTAATGGAAGAAATGTTGAAAAAACACAAAGGACTATCATCCCGTACGAACCGTACACCAACCGGAATGGGTGGAAATAGTTCCTCGGTAGTCCCAAGTCGTCGAATTCANGGTTCACCGGACGTCATGTGTTCCACTCCATGGGGTTCAAACTGCCGGAGAAAAGTGAATCAATGGTGGTGGAACCGGACTACGATCAGATTCGTCAGGCAGCCTTATTACAAGAGTGTGAGAACATGTTGCAAGAGGAACTTCGTCCGAAAACTACTCATACCACACGGAGCACAATGCGTACCGAAACAATGGTTCGTCCAAAATCAGGCTCGATTGTGGTAAGTGTGTATGTGTGTGTGTGTGCATAGACAGTAAGCGTCATCAAAATGAATGTATTGTGTGTGCTCAGCCAGACTTGATAAAATCTTTCATTGTCATTCTGACATTGCTTATTAGAAAATTCCCATGAATAGCTATGTAAATCGAACGTTTCTGGGAACGCTGCCTTCCAGTCCCAAGCAGTCAAATCTATATACATAATGTTACCGGTTTAATGCAAAGGTGTCGCTTTTATTATACTTCAACGTGAATTTTTCTAATTTTCACATGTTCATTGTTCCGTATGTATTCTTTACATCCGTTCTGTTCGAAAGTCATTGTTTTCAACCAAACGATGCAATAATTTCAATTCAGTGTGACTTTGACAACCGGACAAGCAATGATGAGGTTGGGTAAAGCGTACTGGGAAATCGAGGTGACGAGTCGTATTACTGTGGAGGAAGATGCCTAAAACATGTATTGCACATGTCATCAGATCGACTCTCCCGGCATGTGTAGGTTACAGAGGCAGGTAGTGGATGATAGAAGATCAAAGGTGGGAAACTGTAACCTGGTATGCGGGCACGAAAATTCTGACGGCTTGAGGGCTTGGATGTGTTGAGCTCTCTGGATGAGAACATTGAAATCAGTCAACATGCTGGTTAGAGAAACTGTATGATATGGCCAAGCTTGGAAACATTCACTTTCTTTGCAAACTCGAATCAACTACTTGATGTATCCTTACTCTGGTTATACCGCCAAATTTCCCATTTCTCCCTTTAATGCTGCATTCCAAAACGGTAGTCAAAAGACGGAAACCAAAACGGTCACATGATAGTACAAGGTTGACAGTTAAATGCGATACTCGATTTCGTCACTCATTTGTCTCCGCAACTATTCTGATGGTCTTCAAACCACTGTTCCTATCGACTGCAAGCTTTGAATCCACTGGGTACAGTTAAGATGTACAGTGCATTCAATCCCCGGGAACATAATCCGTCCATACGGATCTTTGCCTTTCGATAAGCGCTAAAACCAGCTACCTATCACGCAATCAATCCCGATCCGTATGCTGTTGGTGGTAGTCACCGGTTTTGTCTATATGACGTCATCATAACATTTGAGAATGTTCTCGCAAAGTGGAACAGATCCAGAAAATGACCATGTCATTCCTTTGAAGAGTCTCAGGGGGTTAACATCACTAAAAATATTGTCTAGCGGATCAGCTTGCGGTGGACGAGCTGCAGTTTATTATTTTGTTTACTACCAGATATGCTACAAAACGTGAAGTAATATATTGCAGTAAGAATGAATGATATCAGGCTACAACCTACATGCTTGTATGTACCGCAGGTGTGACCCCATACAGACCATAAAAAGGCCTTCTAATGCCACGAGAATCAATCACATTGTTTGTCACTGGAGTGACGGACAATGTGCGTCCATACCCCAGCTCGATTATAATCATTTTTAATGTTGGTTTATATAGAGTACACACATATCCCTTGAGTCCGGTATCGATCGGTCACTACCTCGTCTAATTTCACTTTTTTCATGACATGTTCACGGGCGAAAACACACGCATAGAGGTATCAACTAGGCAATTCAGATTGCAATGCAGGCTAGCCTTGCTCCATGCCATTCTCAACTCGCAAACCTTTGTCAATGTACTTTATGGGGTTATTTATATCCGGCAAGCATTATGTGTGTTCCGCTCCGTAGGAAAATAATGGTGATTTTATGAAAGTGGTTTACTTATTTCATGAGCCATCAACTGGGCACATTTTATGAGGGGTACAGTTAATAAACCAAACCCATTAAATCTTTGCTTATGACCAGTAAGCAAAGGACTAATGTCGTGATTGTAATGAGGATTGCACTATTGTTTGTTTGCCAGATAGTTTGAACTCAAACATGTGTGAATCACGTTCACCCGGACAATCAAGTGCCAGCGATGTGTCCCGATTACACCAATAAAAAACAAAAGTAGCGGTGGGAGCTTAAATTCAATAATCCGGTTAACTCCGGAACTCCAGGGAACGTTTAATTCTATGCGATTGGGCGAGTAAGAGCAAGTCGCATGTTAGGGTTGTACCGCTGATACCAAGAAGCGCACAGACAACTGGAAACGACCCAGTCTAATCTCACAGATATGTCAACCACACATCTATCCGCTGCTGCACAGTATTCAAAATAAACAAACCTACGGCCTATATGGAACCTTGAATCGCCCAGGAATACCCCATTTTCTGGGTAGTCCAAAGAAACTGTAGCTTCACTATCTGTCATCGTATTTGAATTCGATGAGTGATGATGTCCAAGATTGGACTATCAGTTTCAGTTTTTACAACCATGCCTTTTCGGGGACAATAATCTCCACAGAACGTCGTCTCGGGTGAAGTTGAAAATGAGAGAAAGAGATCAGGCCCCCTTGGCATATTTCTCTGGAGATGGCAAACGGGATTTGAAAGATACCTTATCCCTACTCATTCTGAAGCTCACAGACTATGTTACCAAGCCCAACAGATATTTTTTGAATATATAGTTTCCCAAAGGTCATTCCAACTGAAAACCCATGGTATTTAAGTTGAAGGTTACTCTTCTCTTTTGTAACTACAACCATGAATTTTAATAATAATAATGACAAATGCTTTGATTTCCTTGTTTGTTTATTGAGTATACAAATGTACAACAAACTTTCAGAAAGGGTGCCGCGGTCATACAAAGGCTGTTTGAGGAAAAACAAAATGAGAAGATGGACGGAAGTGGAGAATTTCGAATTCAGGACCTCCAAGTGTCTGTTTAAACGGCCTTACCACTCGACGAACAGAGGATAGGAGAGGGATGGTATTGTTCTCTATGAATCAAGTGTGACTACTGATAACTATTTAGCTATGATACCAACAAGAAGTTGAAAGAATCAATATAACAACGAATGTTACAAGTGTCAACGTTCATCCAAGGTTCATACCGTACCCAAACCTTGTTGGTATGAATTCGATTAAAACAATCTGGTGAGGGGAAAACACGTTTAACAAATCAAATGGACTTATAAGGGAAAAATTCTGGAAGACCATTTGCTCCTCTGGAGTAAAATATGTTGACCACATGTGTAGGCATCTGTCCGAGTGCATCCGTGAGTATCACCATGCGTGTTTGAGAAACGGAGTAATTAAGTCAATCACGAGCGCAGTCGTATCGCACCTCGTCGACACCAATTACATCGTGAACATGACCGTAGCGTTCCGACCCTTGTATAGAGTTAAAACGGGGCGGTCAAGTCATCTGCACTTTCGCATTCCAGCCACAGCAGAAGCAGTTATCATCCATTTTCAAAAGCAATTTGTTCAAGCACTCATGCTCCCATGGCCGGACTCCAGAAACGTGACTCGTCATGAAACATCAGACAAAATGATAATTTGGGATCAATTATGATACAAACTGTTTAATACTTTAATTACTTTCCCTTTTTCCTTTGTAAATTTTTATCTTTTTCTAGTCCTGTATATTATGTCATAGAAGTATGATTAGAATGTACTGAAAGCGAGCTTGTTTGTCATTTTCTATCCAATAATAAAAGATAGCTTTTCAGTTTCAATTTATATAACCAATAACGGAGCAGTTTCGCGCGGCGGTTTAAGTTGCCATCTT